AAAATCTCAAAACTAATGAGAATGGAAATTATCTGGCTTAAACCTCGACATTCAATGTAGCGGTACAAAGTGTAAAATCATTTTTATAGAAAATTCGAATGAATGTGAAATCTAATTTGGTAGATTCTTGTCGCATTTAGAAGTAAACTCACTTAAAACTTATTTAATTTCATCAATGGCATCACTGGCAGTTTGATTTCCTCTTAATTAAGAAGCATTTGCCCCTTAAATAGTCAGGGAAAAGGACACAACATCAAAACCCCACTCCCAACAACAGTACACGTACCTGCGCCCTCAGTGGAAAAAATCCTGAAATTTTGCTGCTGTGCCCTATCGGTAAAGTATTTGTACATAAAAAGACTTTAACAGCATACGATGACAAAAGGAGAGGGGTGCACTGCATTTATTCAACGCCCTTTTCCCTTTTTTCACGGCTTCCAATTATTGAGGCCTTCCTCTTGAATCTTGAAATCGAAACTGATACAACTTATATGAACTTAACTCTTTTTTGCGAGCACTAGCATGGACGTTGACCGAGGGCTGTAACACGACATAGGAGACACGAAGTGCTTCAAAGACACTGGTTACACTGATTATACACGGGGATTCCAACCAACGCGCCCCTGTTGACTCCACAGTTAAAGCACCCACCGCTAACCGCCTTGGAGGTCATGCGTCATAATTCTATTTCTATCTTACGAGTGACTAATATGTGAGTCTGTTTTTTCGCTATTGTTCTGAACAATATTGTTTCAGCCCATAAGTTATCGCATGGAGGAAGGAAAAGACAGTCTTTTCCTCCCTCCATGGTTATCGGAGATTTTGGTTTTCACAATGGTCTGCCAAGTTTCCATAGGGATTATCTCCAGTGACGCACATTGTCCAAATTACGACCGCTAAAATCACTGTTTATTCGTACACACTACGTCATGCATGTAATCTGATTAACTTTTCATGCTATTCTTTTTTTTTCAAACCAGAAGAATTTTGGCCACAAACAACCAGTTCCACCGAAATAACATAAAGTCACTCAGTTTGTAGACGTTTTGCTCTTCCAACTTGAAACATTTTTCTTTTAACTGGCATTTATTTAATAATAATAATAATAACATAAAAGTAGTACGGATCCAAGGCAGCTGGAGCCCAGCATTGCAAATGGAGATAAATCCAAACATACGAGCAGGCATATTGTTAATTTCTCTTCTAAAATCATCAAATAGCCTGTCGAACGCAAAAGAACTGCATGGAAGAAACGGAAATGGCTTCTCGCTAAAAACCAATTTTGGCTTTAAAAAAAAAAAGGCGCATGGGGTGCCCTCCATCTGCACATGCTACCGTGGAGAGAGGAAAGGTTCGACTGTGACCCTCTCTACTTCTGAATAAATCAGATTCAAAGCCAATCAAGTAAAGTAGATAGGCACTGTCACAACCCGTCTATAATAATAGTTTATGAAAGTAACATCCTCCGTAAACCTGCTATTCTCGTGACGAAACACATCAAGTCCAGTTTTTTTGTTTACGGCATGATATTGGAAAAACAAGTGGAAAACATGCGATCGCACATTAAACTGTTGTTCCCCAACAATTACGAATGCGGGAGAGGGAAAGTCATCGTGAATTCTGAGAGGAATTGGGGATTGCTCTAAGGCCATCAAAGTGCCTCATTCATAGCCCTCCGTTTCACGGGAAAAATGTCGTGATGTAAAAAAAAAGGGTTCAAGCAGAGGTGTTCTTTAGAAGCTGTCTTTGCTGAAATCACCCATCCAACTATTGACGGAAAATTGTTAAGATTGGATAGTGACTTTCACCAAGACACTGTGGATTCGGATTCAGAACCGAGTTTTTGGGAGGAAATTCTAATTCAAGGGGTGGGAAATTCGATCTCTGTATGTAACCTATGTGGCCTTTCTTTTTGATTTGTGATTTTTTGTTGGGGGGGGGGGAGTTAACCCCCATTCCCCAACAATAACCAGCAACGACTGTGGCCGAGAACGACTGAAACTACTATAGCACTTTGTTTTCGTCAAAATTCTGGTCTTTTCTACAATTCCCCGACTTTTCCCATTTTCAAAAAATAATTGACAACGTTTTGGAATGAAATTCCAGAAATATTGGATGATCGTAAATTTGCCGGTTCGTTTCTGCCTTCCCCGAAAAATTGTTGGCAGTGATCCAACAGCACACCGCAAACAAGGTCTCGGAATTCTTCGTATTCGTAACAAACAACCCGCAGTTGTCATGGGTAGCGATTTGTTATTAAACCATAAAGGAAGTTAGTCGGGGAAAATTGATTTTACAATCGGTGGGGAAAAAGCAAAAGCAGTATGGTGTTCTAGTATTCCGTTTCCGTCCTTTTTTTCTCTCGCTCTCTTTTGGTAGTGAAGTGGCCAAAAAGGTCACTGTAGTTGTGTGAAGAAAAGTTTGGAGCACTGTTTAAAATATTTCCGAATCTACTATTATCTTCTAGCGTCTTTATGGCCTAGTTTTTTTTTTTAGCTTAATTAATCAATACGGGAAGAACATGCAGCAGGCCTACGAAATCGTCCCTGGCTAAAGGCCTGCTGCTTGAACCAGCCGAGCGACGGACCTAGATGTACATGTACATGTGCTGATGTTCTCCATTTTTACACTGTTCAGTTACCTGTTCAGAAAGCCTTGTTAAAGGGAATCGTGCACGTTGGTCGCGTGGAAGTCAGCGCTATGAGCCCCGAGTTGGATCAAGAGAGGGCGCAAGTTTCCTAGCAACGGAGGCTCCTTTGTTCGGAACCGTACTTCGCTGGTTCACGAACGACTAAATGCACGCGTCACGGTCGCATCGCTACCAACAAAATGAACCCTCCCCACCAATATGACTCCTTTGATGCTTCTGCCCAAGGCGGCTTCCCGAGGCCGAAGGAGCAAACATAATTATTGAGGTAGAAAACTGTCCTTTCCTCTGAGGTATTTACAGTGCTGACGGAGAAGGGTTTAATTCCAAAATGAGATATATCCATTTGAAAAACAAGCAATTTTTCCACAATTATGAAAGATCAAAGAGCTTAGCAGTGTACCATTTATCCTTTAACTTCTTCGTTACTGCACTGACTCATTAAAGTTATGTTGCGCTGTCTAAAAGCTGCAGAAACTGATGGCAGGCAACTAAGAGAGGGTAAGATTACCAAAATGATAGATACCAAAATGGCACCTATCGCATTTCAGAAATAAACTCTTCTATTGCAGTTTGAGTTGTCAGGGTGAACAAGAGGTTTTAATTTTCGCCGATACATTGCAAAGACCCAGCTAGGGGCCAAAGACAAAGGTCATGCATGCGCCCCTCCCACTGGAAAAAAAAAGAAATATCACGAAAGAAAGGCCATTTGGGGTCTTTCTCGTTGTGGAGGATTTAACGTGTTAATTATCCTCCAAATTATAACTTCACATTTCAGAAAGGATACAAAGGGTTCAAAAAAGAAATCCCCCAATTTTCTGCCACCTCAAAAGGTTTTTGACCAAATGCAGGAAATAGTGCAAGAGTAGAATGTCTTGCAGTTCAATTTAAGGAAGAGATTAACCTTACGCTGACTATTTTTGCCCCCGATCTTGTATTTTGTGCTACGTTTTCACCATCTTGGTGGGTTTTGACTTCCTGTTTTGCCTCAATCAGCATCCCGATATACAAAGTTGCTCTCACATTCTCCCACCTGTCGCATTCTGCAACCCCGCCCCTTGAAACGGAACCCGTCTAAGAATCAAAGGTTAAAACGGTAGCATACAAAGAAGAATTTTTCGTCTCATGATAAAATTCGAAGGGGTGCGGGTTAGGGAGCAGATACAATCCTTTCTCAGATGGTGGGTGTCGTTGAGGGTTTGCTGATGATGCAGCTATCACCTCAGCCGCCCCCGCCTGTGTTGGATTTTGTACAGGGCGACCAATGGCTTATCAAGCGGGGAGCAGGGCAAAACTTATCCCCATGATGGATTTTTTTTTAATGAAATTTTATAAGAACATTTTATTTATCAAATATTAACACCCAAACCCTAAGAAAACAACATCAAGAAATAAAAGCAAGGATGTCGGGGCCGTGAAATAAGGTTTTGACTTTTTCTCTCTCCCAACAACATGTTGAAGCCCGGAGTCGCATTAAATTTTGAATTTGCTGCAGTGATAGCGAAACTGTGGTCACTTGATCCGTAATTCGTAGGTCCTACTCAACACAGCGTGTCGGCCCATAACAGCAGGCCTACCAGTTTCACAGCTCCGCGTGGTATATCGCCATGCAGCCTCACATTTTCATGTCGACACTTATTTTGAAACTTTCCCGAAGTCTAACATTTAGAGAGACGCTGAAAGTTTAGTATGGAATGCCGTAACCCTCATATTCTTCGTTTAATAATAGCCCTCGATTTTTTTTGGTAGGCCCCTATAAGCACACTGCCCACTGTGCCTATCAGATAATTCGGCCCTTCTTTCGAACACATTCCTGATTAAATAATACGGGCGTTTCACAACAGTGCGCCTCCAAGAGTTTGCAACGCATTGGCCAATCACAACGCGTGGAATCTCTCGACCCTTTCCAAACGCGTACTGGGTCGACAGATTTCGCGCACTGTGATTAGCCAACGCGTTGCAAACTCTTGGAGGCGCACTATTGTGAAACGCCGGTAGTCGGAGCAAGGCCGTTTTCCAATACTCAACTTCGGCTCCGTCTCAGGCTTCAACTGTTTTGTTTACTAGCTGACTTTGAAGCTGTAAGCGCAGTAATCAGTTTAACTGTGCCACAGAACATCAAATAAGATGCAAGGAAGCCACAAATTACAGTAATCCAATATATTTAAACACTTCAGGCCCACAATCGGGAAGTTGGTTTTGGGAACGAAGCCTTCGACGGAGACAAAGTTGAGTATTGGAAAACGGCCCAAGTAACAAAGCGAGATGGAATTTTCGGCTGAAGAATTAAACGAGGATGATTGTATTGCAGGTCACTTTAGTTGAACACCATAATTATCAAAACATTGCTTACCGATAATAGAGCGCGCACTTTCTCGACCAACGTCCTCCGTTATGCTACACAACGTCTGAAGCTTCGGAGAAGAATGGGTTAAATACTTTTGGAAATGTATCTTGCTAGGCACAGTTTTGACGTAACACTATGAACCACCTGCTTAATACGGTCAGGATAGGAAAAAAAGGGTCAACGTGAAGGATCGATGTTCTTCTGCATTCGTGCTTGACTACGCGCACACTTCGATGAAATTCACACAGCGCTGACGGAGTGATTGATTAAATGCAACTTTTCCGAACTCACAAGCTTTACATGTGAACAAATATTGCTTCATTTTATGGACCTTTTCGGTATGAATAACCAATGAGGCACGAAAATATCCAAGTAAACAGTAGAGAGCATCGGGGAATTGCAAGCCTATACGCACAGAACAGTGCGCACGCAACTAATGCGGAATTGAATGCGGTACTATAATTTGCGACGTCACGGGAATCCGGGGAACGATGCCCAGCCGCCGTCACCATACGGTGAAGAATTGCGTATCAGAGGCCTAAATATAGCTGCATAGCGTAAAATCCACCTCTGCTCAAGCAGACTGCATTTCCCTCTTCCTCTGCGGATAGTTCCATTCTAAAGACCCCCAGATGGTGATACTGATGATGCAGGGCAACCGACCGTCACGCACAGAGCGTGAAACCCACGCATTTCAGGATATTCTCACGCTTTCACGTCTGCGTGAATTTAACCTCTAAAAAGAGAATACTGGAAAAAAAAAATGAAAAGCTGTGTAATTTGCTCGACACATGCTATGTCATGTTTTCAGTGTGTGCACCCACGCGTCAGAACATGATTAGACGGAGTCCGAAACCAGCTTCAAGCGCGAAGGCTATGTCTTGAAGCCCAACTCTCGCTCAGTGTTGGCAGCCCTGCTGCTTGGGTCGGTAGGCATTACAATTCCCCCCCCCCGAACCGAAGTGCGCTCGGCCGAGGTTCTTCTTGTTTTCAGAGTGATTCATCACTTATCAAGTTGGAAACACACACAAATATCAAGTTGTGATTGTAACTCTAAAACAAACAGGGTTGGAACTACGAAACTAAAAGTTAACAAAACGATAAAAATCAAAATATAAAAATAAACACGTAGAAGGATCAGAAGAAGTGTACAATTTTTTTCCGAGAAGGTAATGTGACATAATAGCATATACAGCACAAGCTGCGTAACTGTTCCACGTTTATAATGTAACAGGGGACGCTGTGACGAATTTTCTTGGATAAGTTTTTTCTGCACCTTTAAATTATTTAAAGACTAAAATTATCCCAAAAATATTCTTGCGTTCTTTTAAGGTTAACCACTTGACGTACGCCGGATGACGTCTGAACCACACAATTTTCCCTATTTTTCCACGGAGGACGAGTATACTTGTTTAAGACTTCTTTTTTTTTCATTTCCGCGGTTGACGGGCGCGTGCTTGGTTGCACCATGAATAAATTGTAATTTCGAAGAATTTGCAGGATAAAAACCTGCCCCCGGGAGCTTTTTCGGGTAAGAAAATCCAATGTTAACTTGCTGTCAGTATTCAAAAATACACGTATAATTTTTTAAAATTTCAAACAGCCTTTGTTCGTTTTCCCAGACAACTGAGGGCGCTGTTGCTGAAACGTCATTAAAGAAATACATGGTTCAGCGTTGGGCTTTCTATTCAAATTGTGAACCCAGAATTGACACATTGAAAATATTTCTAAGAAATGGTTTCTCATTGTCCAATTGCTATGCACTTGGACAACAATGAATCACAAAGGAAAATGTTGGGGGAAAAAAGGACAGCAGATTGTGTGGGTGTGTGAGCACAAAAGTAAAACAGCAAACCAATGTTTCACTGAGGTTATCTTCCCAGAATATCATCGCTATTTTGGTCATGAACGTGGAAATACCCATTAGCATGAAAACCAAAAAGGTATTTTACAGGTTTGTTTGAAGAGAAAATCGTACAACAGAAACCCTTTAAGTAACAAAATGACAAGTTAATATTACCTTCTGTGATGAAACAAATTTGCAAACAAATCCTCCCCCCCAAAAAAAAAAAAATTTCAAATTCCCGGTTAAAAAACCCAGCTAAAAGTCCGAAAGTTATCCTGTGACTGCTACCATAAATCACGGAACACTTGACAAGCAGCCTGTACTTGTATATGGGTAATTCCAGAAATTAGAGGTCCAAAAGTGTGACATTTTTGTGTCCCTGTTACATCTGACCTTTGTTATTTGACATGGAAATATCACCGAAATTGATTTCAAACTATTCAAACTATTACTATTTGTTTGGCAAGCAATTTGCATTAATTCATCACTCTTGGAAATTAGAAAATGAGTTTTGAAGTTACAAAATCATATGTCAGATATAACAGGGACATGGGAAAAAAATGGACCCCTAATTTCTGGAATTACCCATGCGAACTCTTACATGTACCTGCAGATTCGAGTCTGAAATTGGTGCAGAAAGTATACCGTGGAAGCCCCCCCCCCCAAAAAAAAAAAACCAGGGATGACATCATCAAAGAAATGATATTTCACTTTAGTATTATTTAATTTTTAATCTTAATGACGTTACAAGCAATGTGTAAACTAAACGCCTAAACTGAAAAGAGAATTATAAGATATGAAAAGCAAGATGTACATCACTCCACTGTCCTGTTAGTCCACTCAGAGACGCAAAACGTGTGAAGAGACCTTGATAAATGAATTGCCTCATTGTCCATTACATTAATTGCAACACAGATACGTTTAAAGAAAAGACTACCATCATCCGCCATCACCAACACAATCAACAGATTATATCCCTATCAGTTTCAAACAGTTACCAAGGCAACCACATGGAGATTAACTAAACCTTTAGTGAGGTTCACATCACACAAATGGATGCTTAGGCGGCAGGCAAAAAAGGAGCTCTAATAAGCTTTAGCACCTTGGCTTGCAGGAGTAAATTCATAAAATGGAAACCGGAAGTTGAAGATAGACACAAAGGCCAGATTTGGTGGTGGGGGGGGAAGAGTGAAGCGAGGGACTCGACTCCATCACAGACTGGAGGGTGTGGTTTGGTTCCGTTCCAGGGATCCAATAACAATACAATACCAGTCCAAACAATACACCATCAACCCCCACAATCTTATTGAAATTGAATTTTCTTGACCAGTCAACTTGTCGACCTGTTAATCATTTGACAATAAATTATGCGAACTTTCCTGAGAAGCGCTTCTAGCACACAAGTCTTGCTTCGGTACCCGAGTCTTCCCTTCCTTGTGCCGAGTGAGTATTCTTTATCACACGACATCCCGCATATGGAGTGGAAGGCCAAAGAATGAATGCCGTTTCTTTTCTTTTTTTTTTATCAGAGTTGGTGCTTCGGAGGGAGACGAGCACCATTCATCTGAGGAAAATGTCCCTGCTGGAGAAATGTGCTCCAACAGTGATTCTTGACAATAAAAAACTGTCCGCATTTTGAACGGCATTCATTCTCACTGTGTACCAATAATGCATCCCAAGTAAAAATGTCAATACGTGCGTGCCATCTCCTGGCAATGGTTTCCGCTACGTGTACGCACTCTTTTCTTGTGCCACACACAACTTGGTTGACATCTTCCAACTTTATTATTCTTAATTTGACAGCAGAAGGCAGAAACGCCAAAACACTGATGAAATGAAATTTGAGCTCCTGATTGCTCTCTACTTTTGGACAAAAGCATAGACGGTGTTACCATGAAGAGAGAACACATCTCGAAGAGTGTCCGAAGTTAATTCTGTGAGGAAAGACAGAAAAAAAAAAATGTATTATGGACAATCCAAAGCAGTCATTTTGTAAATGGGAAACCATCCATCATAAACGCATCCAAATCTGGTTTACAGCCAAGTGTGGACATTTCCTTGTTTCCATGAGAATTTGGAGAAAATTCTCTTTTTTCTCCTATTGTGAACACTCCTTTCAAGGTGAATTATTGACAATGACTGTTTCTCTTCATTTTGTGCCAGAAAAACCACTGACCCAAAAATACCCTCTTAAACTTTTTCGGGGGAAGGGGGGGGGCACTGTGTGGACCGGTTTGAGTCCATACAATGTCTTGTGACCCTATGTTATGTAAACCTCTTTCGTTCTCAGCTCCACATAAGCATTGTCAAACAAATTCACTGTTATCCGTGAAAACAAATAATTTTGTTTGTAAAATGAACTTGATGTCAAGCCCACTGTACACAGCTACTCAAAGAGTTTGCTCACGAGCAATTTGAAAGCAATGAGCATGCTGTGCTACGTGACATTACATTGGTGAAGATCAAAACCTGAAAAACACAGGCATCTCCATTGCTACCAAGCTTTCCTATGACTTAGGGTTGATTTAAGTAAACTCACTGCAACTCACAATCCACACACCTGATGGATAGATATGCTACAATCACAATTTTGAAAAGGATTTCAGTGACCAAGCAGTACACGCAACACATAACAAGTGTCTATTTTCTCTGGAAAAATTTCAAAATCCTACAACAAAGGGCAGATGATTCTCTTGGACGTGACTGATAAGTATGATCTTGTCAGACAGTTTTTAGCTGGAATTCTAACTTCATTTTTGCAACAGCCTACTTCTACCTTGATGTGTCTGTAATTTATGAATTTACAAATCTCCTTTCCGTTTTTTTAGGAAAATACTTTTTGTTTGTCTCACAGGTACCATTTTCAGTACCCCTCCTCTCATGTAACCATGATCAAAGATTCGTCATAACTCGCGATGTGAAAATTGCAACACACTTGACCCATTGTCAGCTTTGTATAATCGTCTACAGATGAATTCACACACCTAGATGAAATATCCAATGTCTTGAAGGACAGTGCTTTGTTAAATCGATCCAAGGTCTGGGGAATAGCGTACTCACCATTAGACCTGCTCTTTGACCTGTACAGCCCAACTTTTACGCCATGGAGACCGAACACCACGCCAACCTGCTTCACCAGCTCGGGGACCGAGATGGGGAAATCCCCTCTTGGGTTCTCCAGCAGTATGGTGCCCTGCCTCGACGTGGCGCCGCACTGGGACTGGGCCTCACACAGCTCCACATTGACGAATCTGCAGAAGGGGGCCGGACCGTTGGATGTCAACGGAGCCGCCGAGGCAGCGGATTTTGTCTGACCTTGGAGAAGGACCAACTCTAGTTCAACTCCTTTGAGCTAGAAATGCAAAACAATGAAGAAATAATGACATCTTTTACTGATAGAAAAGGAAACTGTCTGAAATAAAAACCTAAGTATACCTGCCAACATTGAAAATTTAAAAAATGGAACACACACAATCTTAGCACCTTGTAGTCTTACTCACTGCTGCTTTTCGTTCACCACACTGATTTCACTCTCAATCGTTGCACACGTGATAAACACATTTGGGATCTTTCAGTCTGGGAACCAGACAGTGAAAACGCACCTGCCAGGTTCAAGAACCAAGAACAGAGTCATTTGTATCAAGGTATTAGTATGCAGCTTGATACATGTAATTTCTCAGAAAGCTGCAAGTGAAGATACAGAAACTGGAGTGTATTACAATTAATCCTCCACGACCATCTTCAACTTCCTGGTCGATTTTAGGGGTCTGTTGGTAGATCTGGGAAAAGGAGGAGCCCATGGGGCCATCCCTCCCCCCAATTTTTCTTGGCAAAATAATGAGAAAAGGCAATATCATGGGTTTTGCATTTCCCTTTATTCCAAAAGCATGAAAAAAGTCCCAAAATGTAGTCTAACCCCTCAGAAAGGTTATCAAAAGTTACACTCAAGCTTCTCCCCTCAAAAAATCAATTCCCACCAAAATTAGGTTCCGAATCCATCCTTGGAAAGGTTAGGGTTAAAAAGCCTCTGACCTGGAACATTTCCCGAACGATCTCCTCCCCGGCTGCCACCGGGAATGAGAACATGTTATGCTTGATGGTTGAGTAGATGTACTCGCCATGTGACTGGATGATGTCTGATAGTCGGTCGGAGGCTGGGTTGACTTGATAGAAGATGGTGACGTCGGCTGATGGTAAAAGCTTTGCCTAATATGAAATACCAAGTTTCAATTCTCTCATAAGAAATCTGCCTGTACGATCAACCTGAATACACTGAGGACTTGAATATAAAGGCACGCACTATCCACATGGCAATACTTTAACCCTAACCGCCAAGCATATTGTTTGGCTTACAGTACTTAGTACTAGTAAATACTAAGTAATAGCCAGAACCTGAAGGGCCTAGTGCTACAAATTACTACTTCTGGCTAGGGTTACTTCCATTGTTACTCATACAGAGAACAATAAAGCCGTGCCAGAGCACCGTATGGTACATTGTCTTTTCAATTGTATTTTATGGCTTCAGAGAACAATACGGTTATGTCCTCTTACAAGCGGCAGCACTGATTACTACATTTTACTACAAGTAGTAATTTGTGGTATTATGTAGGGTTAAGGTTAACATGAACTTATATTTTATCACAATTTCCATTTGTTTTCCTTGCAGTAAATTCCAGTCTTATTTGACAGCTTAATCTAAGGTTTAAATGTTTTGTACTCTAAGTTAGGTTAACAAAGAACCATACAAAACACAATTATTACAATTATTACAATTATTAAGGCAGAGATGCCAACTTTTCAAAATGAAAAATACCAAATTACCTACTACACATTTCAACTGAAATACATTCAAACCCTATCAGATGAAATTTATTGTAAAAGACATGATAGTTATTGCCAAAAAAAGTTCTGCTTCCAGTTTCTCAACCGACCCTAATTTTTCGGCGCACCCCTAAGATTTTTATCAGTAAATTAGAAAAACAAATTTTACAATTATTGAAAAGAAATCCTGTCTACACAAATGCCTCTCAACAACTTTTTTTCACATTGAAACATTTGTATTTACCTGACTAGCAGTGAGCACAGTGATGTGAATTGTTAATTTTTAATTCTTAAGAATTGTCGAACTCTATTATACTTCTACATGGATTAAGGCAAGTTTTTATCACTTTTGTAGCAATTTTTTTTCATCTCCATTCAGCTTACACAGAGTTTTATACACAACTGTATGGTTTGTACCTTGGAGTTTGGAAACAGCAAAAATCTTAGTCTGGATTGTACAATTGTAAATCGACTCAACAAATCGTGAAAATAACGCCTAAATCGTAAACGTTGGCATCTCTGAAAAGGTCGCATTTCAGGGACCAAAACGAAAACAGTGTGTCTAGAAATTGATTTAGTGAACCTTGACCACTGAGAATATGTTTCATTACCTTTCTTTTAAGTCTCTGGATACGGTTGATGACCTCCCGAGCGATTCCTTCGTCCACCATGGATTGGTCAGGTGTGACATCAAGGAGAACCAGAATCTGAAATAAATACAGAAAGTGCAATTCTCCTAAATTTTTTTCGGTCAGTGATAAATACAACCAATATTTACATTTGTATAGCACCCTTACACACCATAAGTTGTTTCACAGCACTTTACATCAACAACAAAAGAAGAATAATGATATCATGGTTGATTAAATTCCTGAACAAAAAGTAGAGTTTTGAGACGTCTCTTGAAAACCTCCAAAGAAGGGGGCTGATGAATGAATCTTGGAAGCTAATTCCAGAGATAAAGACAAGAGTTCTTAACCATGCTACACAGAGGGCATTTCAAGAATCAGGCATTCTCTTTATCCTAACACAGAGGACACTTTGAAATGCTCCTGCAATAGACTGATCTAGTAAACCCTGCCCACTGTGCATGTGGGCACTTAACGTGTGTTCTTCTCCAGTGCCACACTTCTTGTTCCAGCCACGCGCATCATACGTGCGTGCCAACATGTCAAACTTTTGTGCACACATGTTAAGCATACATCATGGCGGTTAATTAGTCAACACAATGGGGCGAAGCTATTTCTGTATGTGGTACCAGGCTATGTCCATATTCCTCGTCGCGTCTGAGTGATTCCCGTTCAGTTTGTAAACACACAGCGTCTCAAACTAATCCCTCGATATTGAGTGGCCGTCAAGTGGCCATGGGCCATAGTTGGGCATTGTAGCAACTCCTGCTCTCCCATAATGCCAGTGAGGTTCAAAAATCAATGACTGGGTAAGAAATGTGGCACAAATGTTGAACAAATGACAACCACACCCTCTTCTACCGCTGCAATGCTTTGTCTTCCGAATTTCCTTGAGTCTAATGCTCGGAACTTGGAGCAACTGCCCCTTGTGGACCACTGGCTGTTTTCCTCTGGTAAACTTATGCACAAATTGCATCCTGGGCACCAGGCGAAATTGACCGTCGAGTCAAAAAGTGGTCAGGTGACTGGTGAGCCTATTGATGACCCTACCTACTAAAATGAGTCACAAGTCACCAGAACATCTGTTGAGTGAAAAGTCTTAATGAGAACCTTACACTGTGTTCATCAATGAGTATTCTCATCAATGAGGTTCAAAAATCAATGACTGGGTAAGAAATGTGGCACAAATGTTGAACAAATGACAACCACACCCTCTTCTACCGCTGCAATGCTTTGTCTTCCGAATTTCCTTGAGTCTAATGCTCGGAACTTGGAGCAACTGCCCCTTGTGGACCACCCATAAATTGTCCATTTTCACCAGAATGCTGAAATGAATGATACATGAAATCAAAGACCTCCTATTGCAAACTACAACAGACTTACCAAAGCTATGGCCTTAAGACTCATTTTGTGGGATTCAGTCACATTTGTCTGCCTGCACAGTAAAAAGAAATTTTCAGGAATCCCATCACAGATTGTGCAAAGTGCACCATGCTCCAACCAACCTGATTATCCGAGTGAGCCTCGTATTTGGCCTTCCCCCCGTCCTGGGTCTGCGCGAACATGTAGCTCAGCCTCAGCTCCTTCTCCTCGATCACGTGACCGTGGATCTCGATCTGTCCACTATTCCTCAGGCCCTCCAGCTGTGCGTCGGTGAGCTCCCGCACCGCCTGGGCCACCTTCTTGAGGTCGCCCTTCAGGCGTCGGCCCAGGACAGCCTGGTCCGGCTCAGCCCGCAGGGACACGCCGTACTTCTCCTTGTCTTGAGAGGTGGTCACACAACGGATGTTCAACTCCTGGTGACCAAAAAAAAAACCAACCAAAATACACTCCAACTGTCTGCGTGTCTCAAGCTGAAAGAACCACATTTTTGTTATATTCTCAGTCAGTGGTTTGCATTTTTTTTGCCTCTCAAGTTCTCTGAATGACATGTTTAAATTCTGAAATCTGGTACCATGTGACCATGATGCTTAACACATTGACTACTGCGCATAATTTCACAGGGCGTTCCCATTTGCCAATTGTTGTACACATGCGTGCATATTTAATAGGTATTTTTCAGGTGTCGTTATGAACATTTCAGAGATGTAATCCCTCACCACTGCCAGCAGCATATTTGTTGCGTTATCAGTGATTGCCGGTGTATTTAATTCACAATGCAAAAGCCTTTCATTTCCTGTGAGTATACCCATAGTGGCACAATCTGGTACACCAGTGACTACGAGTATACTCGCGGTCGCCAGTCAACATGTTAACTCATCTGCAAACTTTCATTTAAATCGAATGTAGTGTTTTGACATTATTAACATTGACCGTTCAAGCTCCATCTTGCGCACCTTTCCTTAAGCATGGTCAGTGGAAAACGTTAACGCTTTGTTTTTCTTCTGTGATTGATAATTTGGCACATTACATATGTGGATTTTACACAGTTGGTGTCAAATTGTGTGCAAGAATATATACAAAAGTGTTACAGACTTTGAAACAAACTTTTGAGGATGCTTAACTTCCCAAGGCTAATGGACAGGTCCTTCAGCAACAATGAAAGACTTTGCTGTTGTGTGGCTACAGTTTGAAATTTGAGGTGTGGGTGCATGTTAAAAATTCTTCCTTTTGTAGTTGCTAGTCCATGAAGCATGTTCAGTCCAAATCAGATGCTCCTAGTTAGGAGGTCGAAAATAGGTTTAAATGCTTAATAAAAAAACCATGATCCACAGAAGCAAGAAGTTAAAACAAAAAAAAAAGTATGCTTGATGGTGTAGGGGTGTGTACTGCAACAACCTAACCTCTTTGATGTATTGCTCCAAGGACATGACATCATCCAAGCATTCTTGTTCAGCGTGGATCACTACAGCCTCCGGCAGCGGGTACTTGAAGGGCATGGTGTTGCGGTCTCGGATGACTCGACCCAGCTCAATCACGCTCTGCATGCGACTGACAGCCCGCTCAATGGTTGTGTACACGAGGTTCTCCCTATATTTACATATGACACAGAGATCCAGATGACCGGACCGATCCACATGAGCCCTAAGCCTTGTGGTGTTTCTGACCACTTAAAGCAATGATTAATGTCCAACGTGTTTGCACAAGAGTCCACTTTTGTCACCGCTTTCATGATGAAGCAAATTTGGCCTAAAATTGCCACCTTTTCAAATTTCCTTTTTTGGGCAAATCAACTACACTATCTAATGCCTAAATCTCGGTGAAATCATTTTGCCCAAATCTATTCACATCAGCCAAATCACAGTGATATCCGTGGGGCAAATATCAATTGAACCACAAGTTGTGGCTTTCACAAAGGGATGGAATGTACGTTCCACAGAGATTAGGTTGAGCTGTGAGGGGCAAATGCAGTTTGGCGGTTTTCGTGAAAACGGTAATGGCACCATTACAATGATCCCCCAAAATGCTGTTTCCACGAGTATTTGTTTGACCAACTCTGGGGGCAGTTTTCTTGTCCGTGGAACATGGTGGTGGGGGGGTTTGCTTGAGCAAAGTTTTCAGTGGCACTGAAAGGGTTGGACCTCTTCACCCACCTCGGCTGGGGGAGCATCAGGTAGTGGACGCTAGCCGTGTCCTGCCCCTGGGCGGCCTCGGTGTCCAGCAGATGCTGGAGGTTCTGGTACATCTGCTCGGTCAGGAAGGGGGTGAAGGGAGCCATGATGCGCACCATGCTGAAGAGAACGCTGTAGAGGGTGTTGAGGGCGCTCTCACAGTCAGCTCGGCCACCCTCTCCCTATCAAAAGAGTTAGGGGTGCAGACACAGTGATAAACTGGCACCGCTTATCTTGGTATTTTTACAGGCAATGACTATTTATGAAGAGCGCACACATCTTGCAGTGACATTACCAGAGAAGCTATGACAATTATCATTACCCCTTTTTATCAGCTCAAGAGACCAATTTTGGCTAGCGATGTCGGTACACATCCTGTCGCTACCTAACTGGTACCCACTAATACCCCTTGGGCAGAGAGGCAGTAGGGGGTCAAGTGGCTTGCTCAAGGTCTTAGAAAACCCTCCTAGATTTGAGCCTCCAACCCTATGTTGGGAATTCATGAACTGCAACAGACAACCGCCCACCCTACTACATAACCCAACCAGCGCTGCTTTCATTTTCAGTAGACAGTTTTCTTGCAAGGTTTTCTTGTATTCCTCTATTCAAATCCCCCCCCTTCCCAAAACAATGTTAAGTAACACCTACCTTCAAGCGTTTCCTGTTAAAACGTACATACCAGTTGGTTAGCGTGTCAACAAACTTGACAAGTTTAGGGACGACCGTGTAAAGGCGATAGGCTAAAAACCAATGAGTGAGAGAGTCAAGTGAAGTAAAGTGGCTGCAGATACAAGCAAGACAGAAATGGAACTTTTTTTCAAATGAACTCACACAAACTCTGTTTATGCCCACATTTTGCTCCCCCTGACTCCAATAAGCCACTTGAGAGTTAAATTTGAATAAAATCTGGTACACTGTGTTATCTGATTGCATAGAAACGTAGCAATTTGAATTCCCAAACTACAGACACTGTTGCTATACCTGGTGATTCGGGGCAAGCTTTTACGACCACCATCTCTGAAATGGACTGGTTCCTATGTGCTGTTCTTATCCATCGAGAACAGTGTGTTGGTGCAAGGCGTCTCTTATGTAACTAAGTAGAAGCTTGCCCCGAATCATGAGGTATAGCAACAGTGGTTTTAGTACGGGAATTCAAGTAGTTATATTCATGTTAATTTAAAGAACTCAATGTACCAGATTTTATTCGAATTTAACTCGCAAATGGCTTATTGTTAGACAGGCCTCAAATCCGTTCAGAGATAAATGCACAAATTCCACTTCAAATGATTTGTAAGTATGACCATGACACACTACGTGACGCTCAACTGGCCCAAACCTCCAGCAAACATTATGAGGTGAGGAAAATGGCTTGTGCAACTAATACTTTGGCACTCACTATTAACATGACGTCGTACTGCAAACCATGTCCTACTGTTTTCCTACTTCACTTGTAAATCTTAGGTCCAATATCTCTTTCAAAGAATGATCCAGGCTAAGAATGATCCTCTCTGTAGGATGACTCCCTTTAGTTTCTATACACATTTATTAATCCATTGCACAAACCCATGCACTTGTCAGTGCTGCAATCGAGCCAATCACAAATCCTTTCAGATGTCCAGTGGCAAAAGCCAGCCACAAGTAGCAGGGTGAACAATGACACTTGGATGGCTTTGTTACTGTTCACTCTAAAGGCTTGTAATGTGGCTTGAGACTGGATGACTTCTGATGGACATGTGACTGACTCGCAGGGATGTCTGAGAATGCGCGATGGACTCGGCCAGAATTGGAGCAGCAGTTGTCTTTTGCTCAAAGAAACTATTCCCAACCCACCCGCCATTTCTTGCTTGACAAACGCGATGAGACTCTGGCAGGCCGACAGGATCCACCGATCCAGGTAGTTCTCCGACAGCTGGAAAGTCCGCTCGTTGTGCAGGAAAGTAGTGTTCTCCTCCTGGCGGGAACCACAGCACGGACCATTTGCATGTCAATTTTAGCTGCTCACTATTGTGCATGCTTTTCAAAAGGGAGATTATCTAACCTCATGAGGAAGGAACATGCACTTCAAGGAATGGCAGCAGGGTCGAAATCTCCGTTCACGAGACAGAATGCTTGAATGACAACATGAACGATTACATGAATTTAAAAAAATGTATGAGAGACTGCCGTTGTCAAGTTCTGAAATTCAGAGCAAATCTCTAGCTTTGTCCGAGTTTTGACTCCTCGACTTTGAACTTGTAAACTCCACTTGAAAACAAGCCATGCATAGCTACTGAACTGTTGTTCTATAACCTATGGACCCAAAGATTGAAGCATATTTTATCTAACCTGAACATTACAGTCCTGCAAGGGGGTTTGATCTTACAGACTGGAGACTGAGACATAGTCAAGTGTTGGAAAACCCTCACATTTTTGTTGAATTCATATGAGCTGACGTCTAAAGGTTTTCTTTTTTCACACACAAAGATCCAGGTGTTGACTTTTCACCTTGCATAGTCGTTGGACATTCTGAATGAAGAACCGGTAGGCATTGTACCAAGGCAAGAAGACATCCTTGATGACATCTTTGACGCCCTCCTCCTTGAAGAGAAGAGTCTCCGCCTTCACAACAGGGGAGTTGATCAAATAGAGCCTGAAATGAGCAACCATATGCAAATGGCTCTCATAACTGAAGCTTCCCGTAACAAGAGCAAAAGCCTGGACTGGGATTAACTGTTACCAAAAAAGTCAGCGTTTCCGCAGAGGCGAAGTTAGGCAACTGCACAAATCCATACAAACACAACCCTCTAGACCCTCCCAGGTACCCATTTACACTCCTGGGTGGAGGGAAGTTTCGGTTGAAATGACTTGCTCAAGGTCACAAGATGTAATCCGAATAAAAACTCCCGACCCTATGCTCAGGAGTTACCAACCCTGACCGCCGGGTTAAATGGTGCCCTAGTTGATCAAATCTCTTAAGGCTATGAACAAATGAGCCCAAGAACCCATGCTGGACCCACCTGAGCGCATCCGCTCCATACTTGTGGACAATGCCCATGGGGTCAGGGTAGTTCTTCTTCCTCTTGCTCATCTTCTGTCCGTCTGCCGCGAGGACGAGGCCGTTGACAATCAGGTTCTTGAAGGGGGGCTTGTCAAAGAGAGCCGTGGACAGCACCAGCAGGGTGTAAAACCTGGAAAGGAGAGATGACATCAAAGCAGATCAGATACATATTCATCACATCAGTTAAGATTACAAAATCTTTTATTGTGCATTCTTAGGAGTGGTTTAACAACTCATGGAATTGTTTCTCACACTGATATGCAGTAGATCCGATCTTATTTGACAGGATGTGATGCAATCAGCTAAACCCATTTGCCTGTCTAAAAAAATGTGAGATTTTTGGAAAAATGCCTTTTCATCTGTCACCATAATATTGGAGTAATTTAGCAATGTCACCTTTGAAGTTCACAGCCTTTCAAGTACAGGGTTGTTCAAGAGCTTTCTGTTAACAAAAATCTAGTCCTGGAAAGAGGGTGGACAGAGGAAGAAATGTCACTTTGAAGGCTTTTTGCAATATCAAAATCTGTAATCATTTGAGAACTACTAATAATTCCTGATGATGTGACTGGTGTCTGACAGTCTACGTTTGCTAGTCTCACTGTGAGGAAATGATCATGCCTTGCTATGGTTACCACTTGGACAGTTCATCTGTGACTGAAATTTGACTCCGGCCCGGTCCGAATCACTTGGCCGCGGTTAGACATTATGCACGAGTCTGTGGTAGTGGCCACAGCTGGTTCCTATAGAGTCGTGTGGAATTTCAAGCCGCAGCCATGTGATTTGGATGGAGCTGTCTTTTGGTTTGACTACTGACCAGCCTCGTGTCTGGTCGATGCCCTCAGCGATGAAGTCAGCCGGGAAAGAATCCTCAAACTCCTTCTTGTTCTCGAAGGGGTAGTGCGTCTGGGCGTAAGGCATGCTTAGGAGGAAAAGTAATCAGACAACAGGGAATTGGTTTCACTGATGAGTTATGTTCCGACTGGACTCGTTCTTTTAACAATCTTCGTGCTGAACCCAACGATATCCAACAGTAGGCTCTTTCTGTGGGATCTGGTTGGTGTGAGCAGTGAACGAAAGGTCTTTTGTTCTGGCTGTTAGATTCTGTCGGGTTCAGCAGGCTTCACACTTTCTGCTGTTGTATTCCGCTGGATTTAGCAGGGTGCCTGGAGAAAACCAAAATGGGGCTAGGGACAGTGACCATTTAGACCTGGTATGAAAAAGGTCCGGCCCTACCTCGTCCAGTTTAAAGCCAGTCTGGTATTCAGCCTACCCTAGTCCGACTCATAGGCCTTTCTGAGCTGTAGCTCTGAAGTCACTCAGGCACTTGCCTCTTGGAGAAAAGCAAGAGCTGAACCAAAAAATGTATTGAAGAACCATCCTCGACCATGTCCACATATAGATTCCAACGTTAACAAACGTTCAATATTCAGTTTACTAATTTTAACATTAACGGATTATAAAGGGTACCGGAAGCGCAAACCAGTAAAGAATTGAACATAAACCAACAGCCGTTCATATAGATTCAGGAATGCTATATTACACTTTGGGTTAAAAAAGTGGTTGAAAGCATTTTTTTAATGAAGTCATCACATCAATTACTATCCAAAGGATGTTGAAACCAAAATAAATGTAGTTTGCAAGAACATGACTGTCTCACACGAGATAAAATCACAGTAGTCACATTTGATGTGCGGGAGAGGGGGATCAATTATTACGCTCTTAAAAAAATCCAGACAAGTGCCTTGGTATTTAAGGTAACATTCCATAGTGTACCACATCGCAAGGCCAGGGTTTTGATCTATGTCAGCCAAAGGGTTCTATTGTTTGGCACTGAGGAGTGAAAAATCACAAAAGGGTTTAATCTGGGATGGATAACGTGTCAACACTTGCTCATAATAGAGCTCCAAATGGAAGAGCCTGTGATCAACCACCGGACCAGTCACCCAGTCCAGTGGCTAGTCCAGTAGGAAAGGGGATTTTGCTACCGCACGAGCTTACCGGGGGGCTCTTTTCATATCGGATCTAAATGGTCACTGTCCCTTAGGGTTAAACTGAAGAAGCATGTACTAAGCAAATATTTGCTTAGTACAAACGGGTCACAAGCTCAAAACTCATGGTGTGTTCATTGCTTACGACTGGTGCCTGCAAATTTCTGCTTGCAGCATAAATTTGTCGGGCAAGATTTTTTTCAGCTGTTGCTGATCAGCCCATTGTTACTCAAAAGGTTGTAAATGAAACAGTACCTTCCGCTTTCAAACCAGCAGTCAAAGACTTCGCTGACCCTCTTGAGTGGAGGCTTACCGGGCCGCTTGGAGGGAATGGTCAGATTGTCAACGCTGTGAAAGACAAAAGGAACTTTAGTATTTTGAACAGAGATAATACAAAGGTATTGGTATTTTGTTTGACACTAGTGGAACAACTTTTGATGGCTGTGCAAGTTAGAGGCGGATTTTGAAGGAATCGGATTATCCTTCAACTGGGCTCTCTGGATTAACCACTTTGTACCAGACGACGTTTAAGACTGTACTAACTTTCCATGACATGCTGCGGACTTCTGCTGATGTGGGTTCAAAGCAGCAGGTGACATGAGCACAGGTACATGCGTTACTCTACCATAGAGAACAGAACACAGAGCGAACAAAGGAGGTTCCTTAATTCTCTGTAGTCAGTCTCTCTCATCCTCAGTGATAAGCGCCTGTAACTGCTGGAACAACAGGAAGCGATATCCTCTCCTTGTCGTCTCACTGGACATCGACGATGGCCCCCTTTAATGGCAGAGAGCACCGTGCCAGGTTTTGTGCAGAGCGACTGTCACGAAAAAGTGACTGCATGCAAAAGTCAACAAAAAGCTTACTGCCATTGATGGGGGCCACTACAACCAGTGACCCCCACACTGCAACCAATGTTAGCATTACCGTGCTGACTGGATCATCTATAGTAAAATATGCCTGCTTCCCCCCCCACACTTAGGTGGTGTTGGTTTTTGTACCCGCACTGTCTGGTACATCTGTAGAGGCTTACCTAGTGTCAACGTACCGCTAGAGCAATATCTAAGCAATATCGGTGGTCCCTTCTGGACATCTCAGACCAACTCTGCCAGCCTCACCTTTCACGGTGGACGTCGGTGATCTTGGTCCCCGTCAGTTCCTCCAGCTCAGCCATGGACCCCACGCACACCACCTCCTCCATGTCCTCGCTCACCCACAGCGGGATGGGCGTGCCCCAATAGCGGTTGCGGGACACCGCCCAGTCGTGGGCATCCCGCAGCCAGTTGGCAAAACGCTTGTCCTTGACAAATTCCGGCACCCTAAAAGAGGCCCATTTGAAGAAAAAAAAAGGCCTTCCAGCAGATGGTCTTTAAACAACTGTAAAATGACTGGTTAACTCTGATGCTTAACTTATAATACGCAATACTTTCCCAACGTTGCCCATCCCCCTCAAGGATTAAAATGTTTTAAATTCCCAAAATAGGATTTCTGACATCCAACTTGTAAGAACTGCAGATCAGGGTTCTTGAAAAAACTTGAACCCCTATTCTTTCTTAACTCCTCCCACAAAAGGCTCGGACCATTACAATGAAATGAACAATAATTCCAAAAAACCTCTTTTCGCATTAGTGAGTAAAATTTGCTTCAATTAAAACATATGGACAGAAGCAGCAAAAAGACAATGTCAAAACACCTCTGTTCTTACAGGGTGACTCAATCACTCCAAGAGCAGAGGAAGTGTCTGTCAGATTGTCAAGTTACAATGGATGGAATTTATTTCAGGCTAATTGATTCATTCGAAATAGAATCCGTTGAAAAAGCATCTTTAATGTGCTGCCAAAGCTACGGTTCCTGTCTCAAAATGCTACGCAACAGAATACGATAACGGAGCAATGAAACGGAATCTTTCTGTATTAAACATAACCGCTACGATGCGATTGGTAGTCCACTTCCGACTTCCTACCAGTATGTCTTCTGGTTGTTGGCCAGGAGTTTCTCCACCAGGGGTTCCACCCTCACAAACCAGCCGGGCACGGCTTTGTATATCAGGGGGGTCTCAGACCGCCAACAGAACGGGTAGCTGTGCTTGTAGATGCTGTGGTCCACAAGACGCCCCTGGTTCTTCAGCCACTTGATGATCTGCTTGTCAGCATCCTGAAGGGAAGTTATTTTTCACAAATTTTGACAAGATTACAGGGCAATGCACGAGAGTGAATTGACAAATTTATCGTCCATGACTTTGAATTTTGTCTCAACACTTTTTGTCCGCGGAGTTGGTACGCATCAGGCTAGCTTGGCCTTTCATAACCCTTCATCTTTTACATGGTAAACTCAGTAACCAAATGTAAAAAAGTCCACTAGTCTCTACAGTAAGGAGAAAACTACGGCTAGATGCAGAAAAAAGTTGGAATGAACGATGAAAGAAAAGTTAAGTTGCAAATAATGAATGAGTGCAAAAAGATCAACACATGAAAACACAGCTAATAAAGGCCCTAGCAGCTCGTGCGATGCGCTAAATAGTAATATGCTTAACAAGTGCAACCAAACATTAATACTTAAAAAGGGATTAATCAGACATGCATGGACCGCATACACAACACGCCTACCAAATGACAGTTTTGATACTTAACTCAGTGTGATTGGTCAATCCGACTTACTTTGACGTACTGGCCAGCAAAGTCTGTGACCTCACTGGTGAACTTCCCGCTGGAGTCCACGGGGCAGATGATCATCTCCTTGGTGATCACGCCATTCTCTAAACAAACCCGGTAATCGTCCTGAACACAAGAAGACAGCATACGTGCAGAAATGTGATGTTATGACAGGACAGGAGTAATAATTTAAATTACCGCTACACCATTATTGGGGGGCAGACTCAACGTCAGCACACACACATACGGACGCGGGTCAAAACTGAGCAACTCCGCTACGTCTGGTTCTTGTACAGCTCTACATCATCCACACATTTGCCCAAAATCTCTGTAACAAATCTCTCAACTTCTTCTGGTCACTATACAGGAAGCCGTGATCATTCAGAATTTAATTCTGCTTGCTAACTTGCACCAATTTCACTTGCTGGACATTCCAAGAGCTAGCTGGTAACGCGCCACTGATGTCACTCTATGAGCCCCCAAAAACCTTTTCGGGGTACATGTTGGGGGGGGGGTTTAATGTATTTTGAATTGCTCCTATTCTTTGGACACAGAGAACCTGATTACGACATGGAGCTGGCATAATGGTGCAATACTTCACATACATGTATGTATGCGTATCTATGCGTACCATCAACCATCACAGAGGGTATGCCGGTTTTGGGTACATTCACGCAATTATGACAGTTGGCCCAAAGTTCCTGGAACACTGGAAAAGGGTTAAAGCTGGGGCTGGAGATTTGGCCCAACCCTTGATGTACTGACAATGAAGTTGGCTTGCAACATGTACGTACCTGCAGCAGCCTGCTGAAATGTGTTTGCGTCTGGGGTCGTTATTCTTCTTGAAATTATGAACTTAGACAGTCTATGAAAAGTGATTTTAATGATTGCCTTACAGACATACAGAATCGGCAGGGGGGTTAACTTCACACCATCCTCACCTGACCAAAGTAGGCAGCCTGGTGAACTACGCCGGTGCCGCTGTCGTCGGTCACATAGCCATCATTCAGGATCTTGAAGGCCCCAGTCTTCTTGAGCTGCAGATGCAAACGGAGATCCCCAATGATTCTTTCCGCACCACTTTTTACCGTAGCATTTGCACCCCCTTTGAAATAGGTTCATTGGTGTATACATGCCTCAGTATGTGTTCCTGCCGTAATTCTGCTTACATAATTCCGTAATTCGGCTTATGATTTTTCCGTTTTTCTTTTGACATAAGGCGCAGACCGCACTTCCACCAGCATTTAACCCAACACCAAAGCCTTCTACAAAGTGCTAGAAACAAACTTTTCAAGGGTCAAAAGCGTGGATGAGAGCTGCACGTTCAGATAGTGTAATTCAACCACTAGAATTAGAAGCCATTACTGCGGTTGCACAACGCTCGTGGACAGGTGGTATGCACATTACATGCCTTTTCGACCAACAGGGTGTCGTGATTTGCCAAATGCACGTGCACGTCAAGCTGAAGAATGTGCGTGTGAGTGAAAAATTGTCCATCAAACGTTGGACTGCAGAACAAAACACATGCACATTCATGTGTTGTAAATCAAAGCCAATCATAGCGCAGGCAAGCCTCACGCGGTATGGCGCTGTGGTACAGTGCGCCAGGTCTGCCAGCTCGGCTGGCCTGGCCATATGTGCAACTTATGGGAAATATAGGACATTTTTTCACCACTGCCAGGAAGAATGGGGGTACATGGCCAGCTATGGCCGTGGACAAAGTGGAATTTTTCAGGGCACTCTGGCCAATTGTAAGGGCACTGACCGCCATGGCCACGGTGAACTTTGCGCGCTGGTACCGGGTAGATTTCAGGAAAAATACTTGGCGTCCATTCCCTCTATGCTTGAAAACTGGTAACACTCACCTCGGCAAAGTAACTGAAGAGCGGTTGGTAGCCTTTCCCTTTCAAAGCACTGCCTTTGAACCTGTGTGAACATTTCATTGGCCAATCACTGCTTCTATATCACACACGAGGTCATTCTAAAAATTTGGGGTCCGATTGTTTTGGTCTACCTGTCACATGCAATACATGATTTTGTAAGATTTGAAGGCATTCTTTAATTTCCAAAGTGATTACAGCATGCAAATTAAAAGACAAAAGTCATTTTCTTGTGAGGAGAGGCAAGCCACAAATCGGGCTCTTTGACAATATGCAAAAAAGTCTTTCAGGATCAGCTTCCAAGTTTGGGTGTACTCACTTTCCAAGAATCTCATATTCATCTTCCCCTTTGAACAAGGCCGGTAGCCTGGCCTCCATCATGATGTAAACCTACAACAAACAGATTAGATGCTGTTAATCTGTTGCGTGTGTCACAAAATAACACCAGCTGATGTTGTCCAGTGTGTCCTGCATGCAGGTATCTCGATTTCAAACTCGCGTGAAGTTTCAGACGGTATGATTTTGTGGATATCTGTCCGCCATTGATGGTGCCCTTTTGTGGTAAGGGTCATACGTTCATACCGGATCCCGTAAACAGAATCCGATTGGCCATCTTATTGGAAATGCAATACCTGTTTGTTCCTCATTCTCAATTTTTATGACTATTGTTATCTTATCTTAACATTGTACACTGTGATTCTTAATCACAGTCTAACCATTCTTGATGTGCATGGCACTTTTGTGTTCTTGAAACAATTTTGAAAGGCCCTTAGCTATCATGATTAGCCATGC